TCAGGTGAACATTTTAATATCTAGTAAACATGAACTTGTCCAAGTTTTATGGGAAAAGCCAATCAATCCTCTCCAAGTTCAAATTACCATAGCTAAGGAAAAGCAGAACTAATGTCCCAAAAAGATAACCTGCAAAGAACAGTAGCTACTGGGGTGACTTGGTCATCTAGCTTTTATTCTCCTTAATTCTGTACTCATGTTCCCTTACATTTCAAGACCTTTCTGTTCCCATCTAATTTATCACAAGAAGCAGGATGGGTACACTGTGGACACTGGAACTTATACTGATCACAGATAGCTGCATCCAGTGGGAAACCACACTCTCTTGGTTACTTTGTAGGTTATCTAGCCTTGGAGAACAGAGAACAATTACCATTTACATGCCCTTGCGGACTATATATTTTGGAAGACACTGTTAGTTGAATCTGGCGTGCACAATGAGAGATTGCAAGTACAAAGACTCTGAGACAGGATAGTCCTAAACATTTCTTGCTTTCCTTCAACATGGCCTGTATATTAAGCTCTTCTGCAATTCTAACAATTCAGATTCAAAAACTAATGATATACATTTAGTACTCATGTAATGTTTTTTTCTGCCTTGTGCTCAAAAGTGTTTTCTTTCATTAATTCCAGTAACACTTCAGTATCACTGACCCCATATTCTCCACCTTGTCTAATATTGGAAGCTAAACAGGGCTGGCCCTGGTTTGTACTTTGCACGGGAGACCACCAAGGAAGTCCAGGGTTGCTATGCAGAGGCAGGTAATGGTAAACTACCTTGGAACATCTCCTGCCTTGTAAACCCTACATGATTGCTATAAGTCAGCTGCAACTTGACAGTGTGTTCCACCACCACTAACCCCATATTATATGGGAGGGAGGTTGAAAGCGGCTTGCCTTAGGCAATCAGATGTCATGAGAGCCAAGGAAATAACAGAACCACAGATTGCCAACTAATAACTGCTAAACAGTGCCAGCCCTACAAAGTGTGAGACAGTCTTGATTATGAGAGCTGGCTTTCTAAAAAGGAAGCAGATAAAAATGTAAACAACAGCTTTTGCATCAGGGAGACAAACCCAACTGTACCCTTTGTTCAAAAAACTGTCCAAGAACACAATTGCCATGTCAAATGCCAGCCAATTATATAAACACACCAACATCCAAAGCAGATGCTGAAGTTTTCCAATCCTCCACAAGCCACCCAAGAGCAAAAAGACCAAAAAAAAAAAAAAAGGAAGGAAGGAAACTAACAAAAGTTTAAAATAATAGACGCATTTGAGAATACACTGGTGTTTTGAGAGGCTTGACTGGAATTGATTTGGGGGAGAAGAGAGCTAGAGAAAGACAAAGATCTCGCTCCACAACAATACTCTGTTCTATTTGCTGTGTGGCTTTCCCTATATGGAAATGGAGATGCGAAGGTCTAGAAGCCCCAGACTGGGAACGCCAGATTTATTTTGCTTCCCTCGCAGAGCAGACAAAAGGGGAGGGGGGGGGATCATTCAAGTTCAACATTTCCAGTTCGCCTGGCAGAGCAGACAAAGGGGGGGGGGGGGGGGATCATTCCAGTTCAACATTTCCAGTAGAGATGGGGGGGGGAGGAAATTGCTTAAAACAATGAAAATCACTCTAGCCTTCTGGCTAACAACAAGGAGTTTACGGGGACATGGAATGCTTCAGTTCTGGCACGAGTTAGTTGTCTATTATTATCCACGTTCTCTTGCAGAGCAGTTCCCTTAACTCTGTGGCACAAGCCCTTCGAGGGCACCAGCAAGCAGGCAGGAAGAAAAACCCAGAGCAAAGGATGCATGTAATGGGAGAGTACCTGGATTCCAGTCCAGTAGCACTGTAGAGACTGACAAAACTTGCGGGAAATGAGCTTTTGAGAGGCAAAGCTCTCTTCGTCAGATACCTTTTGAGAGCTTTGACTCTCAGAACCTTGTACCCTGAAAATCTTGCCGGTCTCTAAGGTGCTACTGGACTCGAATCGAGCTGTTCCACAGCAGACCAACACGGCCACCCCCTGAAATTATACTGGGAGAGCGGCATGCCTCTGCAGGGATGCACCCTCCGCCTTCCCAAAACCTGTTTATAAAAACAGAGCAAAAGGAAGAGTTGCAAAGTTCTCATGCAGTCTGTTTCTCTGCCACATGCTTCTCCACCCCCCTCCCCATTTAACAGGGGCGGAAATCCCTTTGTCGCTACAAGTCAGCAGTTCTTCAGCACGAGGGGGAGGGGGGGAAAGAGAGAGAAATGAAAACACAGACAGAAAGGAGAGGGAAAAAAGAAAGAAAAAGATAATACACACATAGAGAAATGAAAATATAGTTCCTCCCCCCAGAGCATGGGAGACTTGGGGTTGGGGGAAGCTTTATTTGGCTTTTCTAAACAATTGGCACTTGATCCCCTTTCCAACCTGCCCTCCCCAGGCCCGCAAATGCAGCTACGCACATGACAAGCTATTAAAAGGCAACCAGCCACAATCACACGAGTAAAAAGGCTTAATAAAAAGGTGGAGCCTCCCCCTTTTAAACGGAGAAGTTGGGAAGCCAAGAAAAACTAAAAGAGGGGGAGAGAAGCATGAGGGGAAAAACAAACTAAAAGGGGGGG